ATTGTTTACCAGCAAATTATTTTATGCATGGCTTCAAAATAATGCTTAAACAACTAGAGTGTGTATTCTACAGATTAATTTTGGTTTGAATTTCGTGGAAAGCTACACGATGGCTATCTGCACTAGCCTTCCCTAATTTAGCAGCAAAAGACTAGAGGGAAAGCAGCTAATCATCACCACCCACCACTAACTCTTGGACTACTCTTTTACCAATTAATAGTGGGATTGACTGCGACATTATAACGCTCTCACGGCTGAAAGGGCCAGCATGTTTGGTGGAGCAGGAGTTTGAACCTGCAGATTGCGAGTCGAGCATCTTAACCACCTGGCCATGCCGGTAAGTCTATAGACATTTGAATAAGTTTTACTGAAACAATTTTGGAACATAAATGTGTCATTACAGTCCATTTAGCCACACCCAGTCATGCTCTATCTGACGACTGTGCACCTTGACAATAGCCCTAAAATGCTGTTTGATTTCCAAAAGATTCTACTGTAAAACTGGTATGTCAAAAACACACCACTTCTCCTTGCATGCTTTCAATAACAAATCTAGCATATGAGAATGAGAGCTCACCAGTGCCTTCTTCAAGAGTCCAATTGCAGATAGTTTCATAGGAACTGTAGTCAGTGACTTTACTACAATTTATATGAAATGTCACGAATACTCATTTCATTCTCTCATATGTGAAGGGCTTATTTTGGTGAACCCATAACACGAAACATATATTTCTTGATTATGTTCCATATTGTTGCTTGAGACTCGTGGATGGCTATGTTACTAACCTTTGTGTTCGTAGACTCACCTATCACGAGAGTCACACTTTGTTTACCATGGCTTGTGGACGACTTGTTGCAGGTCTCTATCTGAATGATCTTGGTACCCCAAGTTGATCCATATTTCTATGTTTTCCAATGCCATAGTGAAAGAGATGTCCCTGTTTTGGAATTTCTGAATCTCCAACCGAGATTAGAGTTGAGTGAACGAGTTTAGACTGTAGCATTGTCTCCACTATTTAATGAGTAATGTGTTTTTGAAGCTTCGTTGGAGATATCCAAGTAAGATTTTGTATTTCATGAAGAGTATTTATATAATTTACTGCAGCATGATACTCAACTTAACTTGGGATACGTTTTCAGTTAGTATTTTCTTTTTTATATTTAGTTTAAGTTACAAGGGGGATCTACATGAACTGACAAGAAGAGCTCCTTCTTTTCTATTAAAGTATTTTTCAGATCTTTTCATCCATACACACACACACACACACATACATACTTGCCCAATTGTTCACTGTGTTATTGTTTAGTGTATTTGAACGTTTATGTATATTGTAACATGTAAAAGTGTTATTAAATATTTGTTCTTTGTGTAAACTTATGTCTGATCTCATTATTTGTAACCTATCTGTTGCAACTCATTGGGAAATATATATATACCCAAGACTGAGATCTGAGAACTTTTAGTTATTAGCGAGACTAGCCTCTCTATTTCACTGGTTATCCAAAAGATACCACACTCATTAGAAACTATACATTCTATGTAAATAAATATAAAGATATAAAAAAGTGAGGCACTCGGCAATGTTTAGAATTGCAGTTTAAATTATTAATTGACATGTTTACATAATTTTAAAATATAATTATACAATGGTGTTGTAGCAGTAAAAGGAATTAATTAATACACAATTAAAGATAAAGAAAATTTGTATTTTAATATATTTTAGGGTAACCAGGTACAAATAGAAATGCACAGTCAATAATTTTGTTGCTAGTTGAACTCACATAATTTAAACAAATTTATACTATAAATATGTTTACTTACATATATATAATTTCAGTGAGTGTTTGAAATGATCAAATATAAAAAATCCATACCACTTGTTTTTTATCTCAGTGTTGATACATATCTTTATAATCAATTATTATTTAAGTATTTTTTTTTAATTTAACTTTTTAAAAAACAGAGGTATGCACAAAATGCTGGTAAAGATATTTCAAACTTATTACCAATGTAATGATTGTTCAGGAAAAAACAACAAGAAAAGAAGTTGAAAAGTTCAATAAAACAACAACATTCTTGAAAATTAAATTGGAATTTTAATAATTCGAAAATAAAGAATTATATCAATTTGCATTTTAAAAACTACAAAGAAGGATGATACCCTGACATGCACATTGATTTTTTGATTTAGAATCTCCAAATTAAATATTTTAAAGCCTTGCTATACTATGCACACATTAAATATCACATACACAAAGTAGGTTAGTTAGCAATATTTTTGTACCTTACAGATGAATTAGGATTTTTAAAAGTTTATGAAAAATGTTAGAACTTGAGCATTTATTTCAGAATTTAATTCTTCCAAAATGCAACAAAAAATAAAGGTGGCTCATGAACAAGTCAAAGTTGTAGTAATACTACACACCCATTCTTTTGGGATTAACAGTTGAGTATGTTATATTAAAAATATTTTTAATATGCAAATAAGCAAATGATGTGATAACCACAGCCAACATAAAGTTGCACTGTGGAATGCCATGTATCAGAACTACATATTGACATCATTTGGCATTACGGAGGTAGTGTGATGCCACTGAAAATTGGTCATTTGGGGAAAGGTATGTAACAGCACTTTCTGATGCAAATTATTCATACATTCAAATCATAAAGATGTGTTCAGGTCAGGAATTTAGAGCTTCCAAGATTAGGGTATTCCTTATAGATAATGGTATTGGAAAACAAAGAAATATGGATCAGCTTGGGGACACAGATTATCAAGAAAGAGACCTGCTACAATTTGTACTCCAGCCAACATCTTGTAAAAGGTGAGAATCCACGAACACAAAGGTCAGTGACAAAAGCCAAGCACGTGCCCCATACAACAGAATGTAGCATAATCAAGAATCATCTCTGTTCGAAACAGAGATGATTAATTACATGCACACACACAAGTTGTTTCTGTGAAATATCAGTTCAACCACCTCCTACTTCAAGCAGCTGGAGAATGAAATTGGTATTCATCTTATTCCATGTGTATAGTGAAAAAAAAAGAAGTATGTTGTTGGTTAAACCACCAAAGACAACAAGATGCTAACTACAGATATATATATATATTCTATAATATATATTGTTGTAGATACAACATTTCAGGCAATGACCTTCTTCAGGTATTTTACACAGTTTTATACCACATGAATAGTGGTCAAGTCACCAGACACAGAGTCTATGAAATTCTGTGTGATAAAATTGTTGAAACAAGTGCTGGAAAATTGTCAGCCTTGCACCCTAGATGGATTATTGAAAGCCGCAGGGAGGAGGTGTGTGCTTTGCAATGGAAACTATGCTGCAGTGCTTTTGTCAAGATGCACAGATTTCAGACTGAACACGACTGGATGTGACAACATGGACTGTAACAAAGTGTGGCGAGACTTCAAAATAATTTCAATATAACATACTCAACCTCTGTACATGTGGCCTAAGGGGAAAAGTATCACATAAAGTACAGGTTAATTACAAAAACAAAAATTCTTACAGCTGATAAAAAACAAAACAAATTCCATTATAATGTCAGAAAATTCCCCCCCAAAAAAGGGAGAAATATAGGATTATTTTGTAACAAAAAGCAAAAAAAGATAGAGAAATTACTTGCAGAAACAGAAAAAACATGAAGGCTTGGGAACTTGGATGAATTTCATATATATTTTAACTATACTAGAATTAAACTTTCACAGGATGATTTGGCTAATAGAAACTTGATTAGTTTTTCTGAAAAAAAAGTAATCATTTATTAATTCTTGAATTCTCTGGCATTACATCAACATCATTAAAGTTATTTTCCTCAAAGAATTAATAATTATTAAAAAAGCTTTAACAAACTTTATTTTTGCCATCATTTGCTTTGTATTTTAGATTATTCTCATGTACAGGATATAAAAACATTCAAACATCTTTCTTCATAACATAATTCCTAGTTTTCAAACTAATATTTTATATATGGCAAGATTATAAACTTTAGTTGTTTAACACGTTTTTGAATCCACAAATTTATGAATATCATCACAAAAGCACTCCTAATTTCATAAAACAATATCATTTCAGAAAAATAAATATTGTCACCACATCTTTGTACAGCAATAGTCATATGACGAAAAACATTATTTGGTTTCAAAGTGAAAAAATTTCTTATATCCCTTAACATATTCCTTGGTTTTTCTTTAAAACCACGAAAATTATATTACGAAAACAATTTTTATGCTCTTAAGAACTCCACCAGATACTGCATGAGACCAATAAGTGAACATGTAATGGCAGTGTCCAAAAAGTTAATGTATAGAGAAAGATGTAAAATAAAAATTTTAAACACTGCATTTGCCAAATTTTACAATATAGGTTTCTCTTAAGAACACTTTTTCCTCTGACTTATTGGTACGTAAAAGAAGACGTAGGTCACACACAGTTTCTTGTAAAATAAAATATCTCTATCGGAAGAATGGTTTTCCATATAACTATGAGATTACAAAACTAGTAGGTTCGTTTCTGAGCCCACAATTTCAAAACATTCAATGATTTATACAACACAAGGCTGTGACACACAAGTATAATAAACTGTGTTACATTCACTTAAACTTTTACTGTTACTTAAACAGTATCGTTTTTAAATAAGTCAACTATTAGAGTATAATGTAAACAACTGTTTAACAATATGGGTTCTGTAAAAATGGTTTGTGCTTATTGGTACTCCAGAGTTTTGTACACCATTTGTAGATTTGAAATATAAGCATTTGGTTGTCCAAAATAACACAAAAATCAAACAGCAGGGTTAAAATGGGTCAATTGTATCCACTCTTCTGTGGTCACTGACTTTTATGGGCAAAAACAAATTTTACACACACACACACACACACACACACATATATATATATATATATATATATATATATATAATAACTACATA